GCCTCTTTGTTGATCATCTCATTTGTCTCTTTTGCCAGAGATAGTGGCTATGTATATCTGCCAGGTGTTCCCACCAGCTTCCATCCTGAAGCCCCCTGGTTCATTCCATCATCATCAGCCCCATCCCATCCCATGCAGCTTGGTCAGCATGTTCTCCTTGTCAGTATGACTTCCAGAAGGATGTTCTTTGGTTGCCTCAGGTCTGTCACTCAGTTACAAAGGTCTTATGTGGTTGTTTTGGTCTCCCCACTTGATGAAGCATATGGATCCTTCCTCCCTGCTCCCTGCAATGTCTTTGTTCCAATCTCATCCATCACTCTCCCCACATTGCAACAGCTGCAGTATAATCTACTGTTCTCCATCCTCCCTGATCACATCCATGATGAGTATGACATGCATCTTGCCTTGTTATTGCAAGACCCAGCAGAAGACATCCCCCCTTCTCCCTCTCCTCCATCAGAGCCCTGTTCATGAAGCTTTTATTAACTTTGCTGAGAGGACAAATGGGTGGGAGACCCAATTGCCTATGCTCCCATTGCCCCACTCACCCCCAATGCCCTAGCCCTTTGACACCTGACTCATGCCATCCTTTCCTGGAATTAATACTTCCCTATCTGGAAACACTGTCCATCTGTCATCCCATCTTTGGATCTAGTGATGTCTCTGCTGAGATCTAACATGCATTGCCACCCCCTATGTGATACCAGTGTGCTTACTCATGTTTTGACTCATACTGTGATGTTTTGACTGTCCTTGACTCATTTGTTGTCAATACTTACCAATCCTCTTTGCTTGCTTACTTTTCATTTCTTGCTTACTCATCATGATTACTCATTACTTACAGTCCTTATTCATTACTTACCAAGCATTTGTGCCTCATTTGTCATAAGCTGTACCCCCCCCCACAGTATATAAACCCCCTGTACTTAGCTACAAAAAGCAATAAGAAGAAGTCACTCAGTAATCAGTTGGTTCATCTCAGTCATAACTCATCATTGACAGTTGAGGCTCATTTGGAAGAGTCTATCTGTCATCATCCATATCCTTGGTAGTTGAGGCTCATTCAGAAGGGTCTATCTACCACCATTCATCTGAGGTGTCATCTGTGCTTAGTCAGAACATTTGATTAGTCATTGCTCCACTCTTGTGTAACTTGATGTCAACTTGCACCAGAACTCCTTTTGGCTGAATACCTTCACTCTATCCAACACCCCTTATCAAGTCCATATTCATTCATCTACTCCTGTGTAACTTGACTTCAACTTGTGCCAGGAGCATGTCTCATTGAAGATCCTTACTCTAGCCACATCCCCCTCACAATCATTACTCTTTCATCTTCTCTGGCATAACATGTCAATGACTTGTGCTAGGAGCACCTGCCATTGAAACTCCCCCCCACATTAGATTTTTCTGCCCTCCAGGTTCCATGGAGGTAAACCACCACTCACTCTTATTTGTCATTGGTGTTGGATTTGTTTGGTTTACACCAGCTTTCCACACTTTGACTCACACCAGGTGGAGTTGGTGCAGAGTGAGTAGAGACTCAGGATAAATGCATGGTTGTGACAGCTTTGAGCAAGCAGTGTAGGAATGCTTGATGGTGTGCATATGCAGTCAGCCCTTCCAGCTGATGTATGTGGTCCCATGGAGACTACAGCCCAAACTGGACACCACTACTTTGTAACCTTCATCAATGCTCGCTTGCACCACCTTGTGGTTAAACTCATAAAGACCAAGGACAAAGTCTTCCCCTCAGTGAAAGACTATCTTACTCAAGCTCAAGTCAAAACTGGTAGAAAAGCAAATTATTTTCAGAGTGACAGAGGTGGAGAGTATGGCTCAGATGAGTTCAAGGCCTACCTCAAGTCAAAAGGGGTCCACCATGAGAAGATGAATGCCTATACCCCACAGGAGAATGGCATCACAGAGCAGATGAACCACATGCTTGTTGAAAGTGCATGGGTGATGCTAAAAGATGCTGGACTGCCAAATAAATATTGGGGGGATGCTATCCAGTATGTGGCCTACCTAATTAACCAATCACTGACCTGTGCTATCTCTGAGGATATCATGCTGTACAAAGCCTTTACAGGGATTAAGCCATCACTGGCCCACATCTGAACCTTTGGCTGCACCACACATGTACATATACCCAAGGAAAAAAGGAAGAAGCTGGATGCAAAGTCTTTAGAATGCATTCATCTGGGCTTTGTGGAGAACAAGAAAGCATACCTATGCTTACACCAGCCCACAGGTTGTGTCTTTGAATCCCAGAGTGTAGTGTTTGATGAGGGAAGCATAGCAGTGGGCCTAGATCGCATCTGATAGAAGAAGATCCTGCAAGCACGGTTAGTAAACCAGCAGACATAAGAGGGAATGCCCAACAGGGCAATATGTCACACCTGGATACCATCAAGACTTTGGGCATGGAAGTCTGTACCCACATGGAGTCTGATGATGGAGATCTTGAGTCTAGTGAGGGAGAAAATGAAAATGTCATCTATGAGGTTGAAATTGAATCAAATGATGCACCCGTTCACTCAGGATCAATGGTAGATCATTCCTCACAGCGCTTGGAGGGTAACATGCCAGGAAATGGCCAAAGTTCTAAAAAGTACTTGAAATGGCCTCAGAACCATCAGTAAAGTGAGCTAGGATGATGCTGAAACCTACAATGCATAAAATGACACCCCCACAGCCCTATCAAACTCCAATTCTGCCTCGAGAGACCTGCAGGTCCACCAGAACATGAAAAGCACCACCTAGAGATGATGATTATCATTTTTTCGTCAATTGCTATGACAGGGCAACCTTACCTAGTCAATGGCTTGAAGCAATGGAGGGTTCAGGTGGAGAGAGTGAGGGTGGAAGCCCCATTGACAAAGTTGCTTGAGAGTGCATGTGGCAATAGTGAGGCTGAGGTGGCTGAGATGAATGAGGAAGTGGCTTACAAAGTGACCACAACACATGACAATGAACCTCACTCATTCAACAATGTAATGTGATGTGCTGATGCAGATCAGTGGTATGCTGCAATGATTGATGAATTACAGACCTTTAAGTCCATTGGACTGTATGAGGAGGTCACTCTGCCTCCCAGCCATAAGCTGATTGACTTGAAATGGGTCTACAAGATCAAGTGAGGGCTGACCAGTGAAATTGAGAGGTATAAGGCTCATCTGGTAGCCAAGGGTTTTACACAGGTACATGGGATTGACTACACTGAGATGTTTGTGCCTGTCACCAAGTTTGCAACCATCTGCATACTCCTGGCCCTTGCTGCTCAATATAATCTTGAAATTCATCAAATGGATGTTAAATTTGCAGTCCTAAATGGACTATTAGATGAAGAAATATATCTTTGTCCCCCTCCAGGCTTCCCTCCTGACAGCAACAAAGTCTGGCACCTACTACGAGCTCTCTATGGCCTTAAACAGGCCCCCAAGTCATGGTACTCTCATCTTCAAACCATTTTTGAATCCCTGGGTTTCACTTGAAGCCAGGCTGACCATAGCCTCTTCTTTAAAGTCAAGAATGGCATACTAATTATTGTTGCCATCTACATAGATGACAAGTTAATACTCTTGAAGTGTCATGCAACTATTGAGCATTTCAAGGCTCAGCTCTTGCAGGAGTACAAGATGAAAGATTTGGGTGAGGCACATTGGATCTTAGGAATGGAGATACTTTGCAACCATGATAAAGGTATCATACAGCTCTCCCAGAAGAGACATGTTGAGAGTGTTCTCAAGTGCTTCAGGATGAGTGAGGGGCAAGCTGGCACAACCCCCATTGAGCCTAACCTCAAGCTCAAAAAATTAGAAATTCCAGAGGCCAATATCAAGTCATACCAGGGTGCTCTTGGAGCCCTTATGTATGCAATGCTAGCAATGAGGCCTGACCTCGCCTTTACTGTAGGCATGTTAAGCCATCATGCTGCATGCCCTGGGCATGAACACACTACTGTGCTAAAGTGCATCTTTTGCTATCTGTGGCACACCTCCAAGGTCTGCCTTACCTATACGCAAGACTCAAACACACATGTGATTGGGTATGTAGATGCAGATCAGGCAGCTGATATCAATGACTGCTGCTCTGTTACTGGCTATACTTTTATCCTTTCAGGTGGAGCTGTTAGCTGGTCATCAAAAAAGCAATCATCTGTTGCTCTGTTGAGTACAGAAGCCAAGTACATGGCCACATGTGCTGCCACAAAGGAAGCTAACTGGATCTGTACCCTAGTCCTTGAACTCAAGACTGTGTCATCACATGAACCCACTCCCCTCTTCATTGACAATCAATCTGCTATCTCACTAGCTTGAAATGTGATGTTCCATGACTGCACAAAACATATTGTGATTCATCACCACTTCATACAAGAGAAAGTGGATTCTGGAGAAGCAGTTGTTGACTATGTGTCTACTAATGACCAAGTGGCTGATGTACTGACTAAGGGCTTATCTAGGGAGAAGCATGTTCATTTCTCTGAAGCCATGGGTATTATTTTCTTTTAATTCCTTCTTGACTATACTTGATGAAGGGGTGTGTTGGAGTTTATCACTTTTTACCTTAGTTGTGGTTCACTGAGCACAGCATTACATAATCCAAAAGCGGACACTTAGCAGTTTATTTTTCTTACTGCACCTCAGCTTCAACCAACTTGAAGTCTGAGGTGAGACTCATTCCATTCATTATATTGGAACACTTACTTACCTACCTACAGTATATTCCTTTCTATAGGTAGTTAATTATTAAAGCTTCAACCAACTTGAAGTCTGAGTATATTCCTTTCTACATCAGCAAATCATAAGTCTGCTTAACCGTGCTTGACCACTTAGCAGCACCTGTCAAGCACGTAAGTAGCATAAGCACGTTAAGCACCCACATTGCCAAGCATGCATGACTGCTAAGTAACTTGGCGAATGTTTAAGTGCGACTCAAGTAGATAAGCATCCCAAGCAGCTAAGTTACTATGGAATTTGAGCATACAATCAAGTACACTACAAGTACGAATCTGATAAAAGCGAAAATGCATGATGATCGATAAATCTGTTCATGTAGAAGGTGGTAAATGCATCGTAAGAATGATGCAGCTTTATGGTTCTGGGAATGGGGTGGGTGCCATACAAGGGGACAAGGTGTGCCGCATGATATATGGTGTCTACGTGTATGACAGCGGTGGCCGGGTGACAATTTGCAGTAAGGGCCAGGCGTATGATCCACATCCTCATATCCACATCTGGGTCATCCCTGACATGGTCAAACCACTGCACTACTGCGCATGGGTAACGCTTGCTTTGGGAAATGAAGGAAAAAAACCCAAGGATACGCACAACATCCAAACCGTGCATCCCCTTCAGCCCTGGATTAGTATTCACAAATGCACAGTCATACTGGGGTGGCCCATTCTGCCATGAATGACACGAGCGGATATACTCATGCCGCATGCCACCAATACCACTGATATCACTTGGTGCATAGAATAATGCAGCTGCAGAATTAACGATGGTGATTTTGTTGCCATAGATGGGGCGCTCAGATAGTGGGATGTCACAGAGATCATGGTAGTCTTCAGCGTTGGCTTGTTGAAGCAGGAACTCCTCCAGAATGGTAGGGAGACATGATAGACCAAGCTCGATTGCAAGATCTGTCACGGTTCTGGCCCACTTCATTTCTGAATGCAAGAGGTTGATTTTGTGAGCTGCTGCACTACTCAGGTTAATAAGGTACATACAGGTGGTGCGAGCGAGTTCAACATGTGCCTCTATGGATGTTGGGCAGTCCACAGCCTCACCATTGTCTTCGTTATGGGAACCGGAACCTAGGACCTGTGATGTACCACCGTTCTCTCTGCCATCTGTTTACTTCATGTGAATATGATGAAAATCAATATGATTGTCCAATGACCAACCTTGAGTCGAAAGGAGCTGCATAGTTGCCATGAGGCAGTTTCCCTCTAGCATCCCTCATTCGTTGAAATCCCTTCGAGAGGCTGCCAACTTATCTAAGCACTGATTGATAATGAGCATTTGGCCCAGTGGCTTGTTATGATTGGTCCACCGGTACGGGTCCTTCACAGCATTGATATGCTTTGATTCAGTGATTGATGTGCAAAGTCCGTTCAGTGCCCCAAATAAATGTATAAGATCAGGGTAGTGTTTCATTGCATGCTGGTGCGGTAAGGAAAAAGTTTGAATGGTACCTGATTGGCGAAATATTTCCCGGTACTTGTGAAAGCGGTCGATGGTATCTTGAACTGCAACCAAGGTTTCTTCAGTGAGGACATTGCGACAGACCAGGTATGTGAACTCCAACAAAGCACAAAATGTTCGCGCAATCTCCATTGGTACATGCCCCTCAATGGCAGGTAGACACACCTATGTATCGAATGTTAACGACAGACTGTATAAACAACCTGATCTAAAATTACCTTCATTAGTGCCTTTGAGTCATTACCAGTCCACTGTTTGAAATGACAGCCCTCGGGAAAGCAACAGAGCCCTGCGAAAGGTGCGACAGCCGTGATTCTAAGGTATCCTACATGAGGAAAGAAAGAAACGTAAATTAAAGCAGATGTACCTCCGGTCAATATCATCTAAGATCACATTCGCCTTTGTTGTGCCATGCATGGTCTTCAAATAGCTTTCAACCCACTCGACCAAATGATCCTTGAATGTCCCTTTGATGATCTGGTGTAGTATATCAGGGGTGATGAGTTGGTATATATCGGCACAGGGAAAACTGCTGGTGAACGGCTGAAATCAGTTTTCAGGACACAGGCACAGTGGAATCTAAGTGAAACAATACTTACAATTGTATCACCCACAATGCCATATGCATCCCATAAGGTCTTGAGATCAAACTCCTTGATCAGTGCTTCTGCATGTTTGCGACTCTGATAAAGTGCATCAGTATCAAGTTCCTGCCTCATCGCAAGACATCTGAGATTCTAGTTAGTTGATAGTAAGAGTTGGAAAGTAGAAAAACATACTTCGCACACCACCCTCGCACAATACATAATCGGTGATATAAGGGCCAAGTCCAAAAATTACGCGGCGATAGTGTCCATCACCGAACCACATAACAGTTGGTTTGGTCATCACAGGCTTGAGATTTCGAAGGATATATGTGAGTGATGAATGAAAGAGTTGGCAGCGGAATTGTTGGAACATGTCGGTGGACGCATGCTCTTTGTCGGCTACAAGTATATCTCTCATTAGCGCCATTACTTTCCTATGTATCTATCAGATGCACTTACTATGTGGGATTGCAAGGAAAGCGATGAGAGCGACACTATTGCGATGTGCATGATGAACTTTGTTGCTCATGTTACCTATTGAGAGGTAGAGGGGATAATAATCATTTTGACTGGTTGCAACTGACATGGTCGTCTTGTCACTGCCAAGGATGATTGGAACGAAGGTTGACCCGTGCATGGTTGAATCATGAGAAATTATGTCCTGTTATTTGCACGCCATTAGTACAGTGCTCAGAGACATAGAAGATAAAAGACGCACTGCTTGAGTCCACACCCAATCACCAGACATGAAATCCTCCCACTGTCTCTTGTCTGTCATGCTCTCATATTCCCGAAACGGCCGGTAATCCATGTCTCTCAAAAAATCAGGTTGGGAAAGCATATTGCAAATAACATCTTTAGGGTCCCAGAACCAAATATCGTACACAGCATTCATCCATGATGGGACATTATCAGTTGGTTGTTTGCCAGTATAGGATATGCAAAAATTCTCCCACTGTACATCACCAAGTATAGTGCGATCGAACGTCTTGTACATTTCAGTGCTATCTTTGAAGACGGGCTGGCTGCCAGTGCCGAGAAGTGTTGCATTCCAGAGATCTAGTAACTTGTTAATATTGGCTGCAGACATCTGGCTGTGGGTGAACAGGAAGTCAGCTAGCTCGAACTCCAGATGACTGGAGTATGGTGACCAATCGTTAGGTTGCTTTTCAGAAGGAGTTTGCAGGGATGACTGTCCAACTGGGAGGGGGTTTCCAGATGAATCACAAGGCTGCCCTGTCAAATAATACATCGGTAAATACTTAATTTTTCACCCATACTGCGTACCGGTGAGGTTTGGGTGATAGTTCCGATAATACTTGTCACCTTGTCCAACAAACTCTGCCAGAAGGGTTGGATTCGAAGGGCTTGTGGATGGGTCACTATAGTCGTCGTCGTCCAGTCAGAACTGGAATTGTTCCTCTTCAGGCGATGGTACCTGATCTGGCTGTTCTACCTGCACAGGGATGTTGATAGGCAGAAATACTGGGTGGTATATGTTGATGTGCTGGGTTAGGCCCAACTTGTTTCTGAACCATTGACAGCAGCCAGGTTTTGTGCAGGGAATCATATCTGAAAGAAAAATGATGAGTAATGGGAGTTACTGTGGGACAGCAAAGATTTGCCGACTGAACATAGAATCGAACTAAGCCAAAAGAGACAGCAGCGGGCATACCTTTTTTTCTTCTGTCTCTTTGTCTTCCACCTTCACACACAGCCAACGACCCTTTGCACTGCGAGATATGGACAACCAACCGGCCATGGAGTGCCCACAGGAGACACTTGCGAGTGGTTGCCTGAAGCACCAGGTGGCTAATGTGCATCCCGGTAGGATCATCCTTGACAGCCAACTGAGAAGACAGACGAGCACAGAGAAGGAAGCTAACAATGAATGCACCTGGGAAGCCCTTGCCAAAAAGGTTGCAGTGCTGAAGAGAGGTTATCAACAGATCGGCGAAATCGAGGATGAAATGGAGGTCAACCAAAGTGGTGTTGCCGCCGATGCTAAGCCCATCAAGCCATGTCCTCGTCCTCGTCCTCGTCCTCATGCTGTTGGCAGGCAAAGAAATGAGAGTGATGGTGGTATCTATCATGCTTAACCAAGAAAACATGAGGCTGATTTTTTTTGTAGGGATCAATGAGCCACTTACCCCCCTAGCTGATGTGGAAGACAATGCTGGACCTGTAGTGATGAAGGGGAAAGGGACAAAAGCAGCAAAGGCAAAATTGCTGCATGAAGCAATAATCTCCATGCGCAACAAAGTATCCCCGCCATCAACATGTGACAATAGCATCGGCGCTAGTACTGGTTTGATGTGTGTCTTACTTCTTAACATGTTCCTCCTAACTGAGGCAACTCTTTTCTTTGCAAATGTCCTAACGACTGCCAGCTCTGATGATAAACTGACTTTATCTAAGCGTGTCAAAAATTGGGTGAACATCGTCGACACAAGCTCTACACAATCTTCGAGTGCTAGTGCCAGTCCTCACACATCAGCTGCACCACCTCCGTCCACAAGTACCCTCGCTACAAGTACTACTGATGTCGAGTTCCATGTATTCAATCTCGGCTCTCCACTGCCAAATGATCCCCAATACAACTACGAGTTCGAATCCCAACTACCAGAAAACTTCGACTCGCTACCTGATCACAAAGATGGAGAAGCTAGCAGGCCAGTGAGACCTCTGGCTTTGGACGTCCCTGCTCTTCAAAATGTTATCGTTGAGTATCTTTCATGCTGAAATGGTTTTTACTCATGCAATGGTAGTCTCAGTGCGCTGCCACAATGGCTGAGGAGTATGAGGCCAATGATCCTGCCACCAGACTCGCCAACATCAAGAGGAAAGTAGCCAAGTTGGAATACATCTTGACCTCTGAGGTTGAGGGCGACGCCATCAATGATAACTGTGACAATCTAGACGATGCCATCTGTGTTTTGGGGCACAAGAATGCCACGGCCAAGGTATGTGCTGACCACCTTTCTCTGTGTTCCTTCATCTTTTATTTTCTTTCAGTTGCGTGTCATGGTTACAAAGGGCATGCCAAAGAAGATCAAGATACAAGCTTGCGACTCTATGTCCAGCTTATCAGCCACATCTACTAGCAAGAGATCTATCATAGCAAGCGATTCATCGAGTCAAGTGCAGACCATCCCTGCACAAGTGCGTTTCAACAATTCGGATCTCCCCTCAGATCTGCATAAAGATCAGAAGTGGAAGAGGGAAGTTATTCCGACGCTAATCCTATGGGCCGGAAACCAAGAGGATGCATTCAACATCGCCAAGCAAGATATTTGTGGGGCTCTACAGGAGATCATGCCAGTCATATACCCCATACTCAAGAACATGGCAGGTAGCATTCTTCCCAGCTCACCCATGGTTTCTGTCATAAGTCCATTTCATTCTGACTTCATCTGTAGCTGACCATGTTTGCCATAGGCGTCTCAACGCTTGTGTGATTGGAGGCATGGCTTTGCCTCTGCAGCTGTTGTGCAACTCATAGCTTTCTTCCTCAATCCTCAAGACCCATCACCCGCCAACACTGCAAAAGTATTACTCGATCATTTCACATTCTTATATGAAGACCTTGACACAACTGTTCCTGAGAAGGCCTTCTGCTCCATTTTTGTGCAACAGCTGCTGCTGAGCAGCCATTTGACCGCAACCAAAGGATACATTCAAGTCCCTGCTCTTGACACTTCGTCTTTGACAAAGCATGGTGTTGTTGGTGCTCTTGGACTTTGTGCTGCTGCGGTAACATTTATCAAGTCATTTTCATAGCTACAGTATTGATTAGTTTTTTAGCTCTCATGTGGCTTGAACCTCGTTAGATCTGGTGACATCGAGCTCAAGTCCCCCATCAATGTCAAAGATGGTATTGCCAAAGTGGCAACGAGGTTTGTGCGGACCCCTGTCAAATACAACATGGCTTCGGGCAAGGATAGCAAGACTGCGTGCGCATTTTCAGACCAGAATTGGGGAGCCCCAATGAGGAAGTTTACAGGGGCCGCCAAAAGAAGATCTATTGCTCAGCTTCAAGCCATTGTAGAGCTTGCCCTTGCTTCGCTTGCAATAGGGCAAGAACTCGACCCCGAGCTGTTGAGTGATGCAGGATCTGACGATGAGTATGCACTTATCTGTAGGTTTTCATTCCCTACTGCTTATACGATCCACTGAGTCCACAACAGGATCTCTAATACATCTTCCCAATTGCTATCACTAGTTTGTCTATGTTTTTCAATCCCTCGATCTTACTGCCGCATAATTTACTTCACCGCTACTTAGCATGTGCTTAGCAGATATTAATTGCACTTTGTTGCTGCTTATCTGCTTGACGGAACAGAACCAGCATTATTTCAAGTAAGAAACTAATAAGCTAAGCATGCATTAAGTAAAAAATAAGCAGTGCTAAGTAAGTATCCAGCAGAAGGATCTACTTATCCAAGCAGACAGCTGCTTGGCAGTTGGTATGATAAGCAAATGTTAAGTAGCTGTCAAGTAAGGATAAGTAAACTCGTGATTTGCTGATGTATAGACTTGACAATCCTTCAGCTTGTCATCCTACAAAAATGTGAACTGTGTACAGGTGATGGGACTGCATACATAAATGACATGCCTTTTCACAGTCACTTTACTGTGATGTCTGTTGGTCTGTTGGATTTGTCAACAGTCCATGCAGTTGTCACAGTCAGGGTGACAAATTGTTGATGACTGCCAAAAGAAGCATGCTACATGGGGGGGTGGCTTGCTGCAGGTTGATGGTGGCATGGGGTGGCATGGCAGCCAAAAGAGGATAGTGGTGTAATATGATGCATCACACTGGGCCTAACAGAGCTAGGTGATCTTGCATCACAGGTATGCTACAGTGGTAAGGTATGATACATCAGTAGGACAGGTAATGCTGCATCACCAAGTTGGGCTCTACCCAAGAGTGTGATAGGCTTACCTTCAGCGAATAGCAATTAGAAGTGCGCCATTGAAGAATGTGTATAAGCATTGCGAGCACCCGCAATGATTGAATTATTGGCCGAAATTTACAGAAATACGCTGCTAGTCAGCAGTATTGGCAATTGCCCAACTGGAACTAACGACTGAAGAACGGGACGCAACTGCTAACAAGATGCGGGAGACGAGGCTGGAAACCTATCTAACAAATACCACTCGCGCTATGTAAAAAGCGTGCATTCAATTATAAATTGACTCCTCGACAAGTTGCCCAGCCACATCAGGAGGTAGCGGTGTCTTGGTAATACACCTCTTGCAGACGCTGGTGGACGTAGTCCCCTGCAGCGACGGGTTCGTACTTGGGCGGTCTCTCAGGGGATACACAACTCGGCATGGGCTGGGTGAGGTGATTGATCTGGGTGCCGTAGTGACAAGCAAGGCCTACTTACTTCGATCTGGACGTGATAATCCGTGCCGAAGAACAGAGGAATGGAATATCGACGAACGCCGCTCCTGTTGATCGCTCTATGCACGGTCGACCTAAATACGTCGTCTACCAGGAGAGCGTGAGAGACAGGAATCAGTATGTATACCTGGATTGACACTCACTCGTCCATCGTGCAAGTTGGTCACCAATGCTAGTTGCAAGCAGTCAGATCATTCAGATGTCATTCAAGCTTCCACACACTTGATAACAAGCGTTCCGGGGATCGGTGGTGCCTTTACCCATTGCTTCTCGGAGTTCAGTAGTTCAAGAGCCTGAATATCGGGTTCTTGCCATAAGATGGTGAAACACTGCATGTCATTTCAGTTCGAGATTCTATATGCTTTGATGAGACCCCCAACCCTGAAACTATGAAGAGGTTTGTCAGGGCAGATTCAAGGGAATAGGTGGGATGCCTTACTCTGAGTGTGCACCGATTCCAACGATACCATCGCCTTCGGGACCAGTTTGAGGTGGGTAATGGATCAAACGCATGGATGCAGCAGAATTCCTGGTCTGAAAACCGTCAGCTAAGACAATTGGATACGTAGGCGCGACCGTGCCTTGTCATCAAAGTACGTTGCAGGGAGATCCAATGCAAGGGCAAATAAGTGGAACAGGACCCTTCCGATACCAACTGCTGCATGGCTTCACCACGGAACGGAATGAGGCACACTCGAACGGTATGTTAGAATGGAGCGTACTAATAATTGAGGCAGGCTTCACGGAACCCAGAGGGTTCCGAGGGCCATACATTCGCACCAGCCATGGCACCATCATTCGTTCGCTTTTCGTCGTTTTCCTTGGGCACCAATTCTTCCCAACCAAATATGAAGCCTTCATGTAGGTCGGCTCTGTTGGCTGGGTCGGCGTTGGAGCTGAACACGGGTTCGTATCCCCTGAAATTCTTATCTCTGTGGTAAAGCTTCTCCAGATGAGCCAAAGATCAAGTGATGTGAGGACGTAGGCTTACCTTCATCTTCGTCTCCAGTGGGAGAGAAAAGTAAGCTTCCATGGCCGAACAGACCTTGCCAATGGTCTCCTGGGGTATACCATGGTTGCTAACTGCGAGTCGCGCGTTGGGAAGTCATAGATATTAAGACAGGAGGGTCTGTGCTCACTGTAAAAGAACCCAACATTCA